TGACATTTATTGCCTTGGTGCACAGTGAAATTTATTACTTTCCTTAAATTGTATTTTCCCATGCTTCAAAAATATAAGTATGTACGTGTAGTGTAATGTACTTTGACCATCCTAAACTCTATGCGCCAACTCTTTGATTTTTTTTTTTTAGCCACTTGCAGCAGTCCAAGGCAGTCACGGCTAGCGTGCACTCCTTTTGATATGACACCCTGCGGCGATTTAATTTGCACTCAAGTCTGCACCACATGAGACGTGGTGCTCTTTTCTCCTCACTCGAGTGGAGCCAAATGCCGTCTTTAAGACATCAAAGTGCATTTATGGTAATTTATTCGCTTCTTTGTTTATTGAAATTTTATTTTTGGTTAACCGAAATTCAGTTGAATTTTCCTATTTCGCTTGAAAAAAAAAAATTATCATAAGAAAAGTGTGGAATTTATTAAATTATTCGGTTGTGATCACGATTGGCACCTCATGGCACTTTCATTGCATATTTTTATTTTTGATTTTTTTTTTTCATTTTTCTCTTTTATGCAGCTTTTCTCACACTCTTATTTATTTAATAATTTCTTTGCACCTTCTTAATTGAAAGTGAAATACTTTGAATTAATTTTGGTTTATTGATGTGCTCTGGTCGATATGTCTGACTGTGAGTTCATTTTAATATTGCATGTTAACGTTTTTTTTTCTGAATTTCCCTGTATGCATTTAATCAGTTGGCATAATTATTTTGGCGAATAGAGTTTTCATTTAATTGTTTTTAGTTCTTTTTAACAGAAAAATTTTGGCTTTCATAAATCGAAATTAAGTTTTGCTATATTTTTTATTTTATGCCATATTTTTTATTTTCTTACATTTTTTTAATAAATAAATTTTTTGATAAATTTTATTTCATTTCATTTTTTATTATTTTAATTTAATTTGACTATTTAAATTTTTTGTTTTATTATATTTTATTTAAGTTTTATTTTATTTCGTATTATTTTAATTTCCATTATTTTATTTGATTTCCTTTAATATTTAATTTTTATTTCTTTTATTATCTTCCATTCAATTGGTTAATTTTTTAATTTCTTTTTATTATATATCACTTAATTTATTTATTTTCTTTCATTTAGTTGCTTTTTAATTTTCATACTGATTTTATTAAATTTTTTTTAATTTTGATTTAGTTTATTTTTTATAAATTTATTAAGCAATTTTTTTTTTTTACTATTTTTTTCGAGCTATTTCATTTTGTATATTAATTTTTGCTTTATTTTTTTATTTGATGGCATTTTTATTCTATTTCATTTAAATTTTTTTCTCCTTTTTTATTCTTGTTCATTTTTTCTTAATTTCAATATTTTTATTTTGTTTCATTATATATTTTACTTTTTTTAATTTGTAATTTATATAATTTTTGTTTTTGATTTGGTTTTGTTTTTTATTAGTTAGTGTTAGTTTTATGATTTATACCATTTATTGTAGGTTCTTGTTTTATCTTTTAGTTTTATTTTTTGATGTTTTTCTAAATTATTTTTGAAATTTTTATTATTAATTTTCATTACTTTTTTAATTGTTATTATTTTTTTTTTTAATTTTTTTAGTGAGCTTAATCACTTCAATTTTAGCCTACTTTGTATTGTTTGTACCACAACAACAAATCGAATGTTTTTGCTTTCTTATATTAATTTTGCTCAGCTTATTATTTACCTTATATTTTCTAATTCGTATTGTTTATTTTACTTTCGCCATTAATTCATCAAATACCATAAATTCTTCACTCTTTAATTATTCATTCTACATACTCTTTTCTCCCTCCATTCTAATTTAAATCAAATTCGAAAACGCAGAAATTCCATTCCACAAAAAAAAAGAATGACATAAAAAACGTATGAAACAAGAATCGAAGAATCCAATCAAGTTAATGGATTAAAAATTTGCCAACGCCCTACCCTCTCACACCATCACCCAACTGCCTCCTACCGCCCATTACTCAGGTAATGCCTTTGCAGAACTCTTCTTTACCTCATTTGCGCTCGTCTCCCTGTTGGCTCTTCTTACTCTGCGATTATTTGCGTGCAATTTGAACGTCTACCACATTCACATGTCAGCAACTCGTTGCCCGGTCCCCGCCATGCCTCGCTAATGATAAAGAGTTCAACCAGCGACGAATGGACTCTTGAATGAATGGTCGATGAGGTGGACGGACAGACAGACGGACGTTTGCACGTTATGGTTCATAAATTTCCGACTGCAATGCTCATACTGAAGAGACGTTGGCTATGAGGACTTTGGCTTTGGCGTTGGCGGCCTTTACTTGCTGCTCCAATGACTGTTGCTGCTGCTGAAGAAGCGGTGTGGCGAATGATAGACGGCTGCTTGGGAAAACATCTGCTGTTCTTCGTTGTTGTTGTTTATGTTTTACAAGTACACTGTACTCTTGTCGTGGTTGTTATTATTGTTGTTGCTACACGTTTCTGAGCGAACTCACTTGTGCTTGTTTTTAATTTTTTTTTTGTATAAATGTATGTATTTTGTTGTTGTCGGTTCATATTGTTGCACACTGACTGGCTGTTGCCTATGTCTCTTCTTGTCTGCCGCTAAGCCCATTTCATTAGGTTAGCTCGCTTATGCGACTGTTGCGCAGGCGCACACTTACGACGAGTACCTTGTTGTTTGGCTCCACACAATAAAAATAACTACATGAGCAAATGTTTGTATGTACATATATAATTTTGAAGGTATTTTAGTACTTTATTGCACCACCAATTTTTATTTTTATTTCATTTTATTTAGTTTTTTTCTATTTTCCTTTCCGTCAGTGGAAGTCCACCGCCAGCATTTCATTGCCTTTTTAAATTAGTTCAAAATGCCGCACATTCTTTTTGTTTTCGTTGTTGGTGCTTCTTCAAAATTTCAATATTTTTTTTGCTTTAGTATTATTCCACATACTCACTCGCCGCTTCCATTTGGTATTTAGTCTCTTTATGGTCTTCATATTTCCACTTTAAAACGCGTCATGTGTTTGCATTTGTATGTCTCGTTGAGTGATTTTGACAGGTGGGACTTGAAAAATATTCAATTTTTTTCTGCTCTCACTGCCTCTTACCATTCGTACCTTATGCTATTTCTGCTTTGTATTTCATGCATCAGCCCTTTTCCTCTCTTCCTCTGCATACCACACATTTTCATATGCACTTCCATGTTTTTTGAAAAATTTGAAGAATTGAAAAAATACCCAATATTTTTTTTCGATTACGAATCAAATTGCATTGTTTAGCGGCAGTTGGCGGCTGGTGCTCTGGTGCCTTCGCAAATTTGCTTGGTAACTACACTAATTTACTTTGAGGGAGCATGGAAGATGCAAGCTGTAGTCCTTATTGCGCAGCTTCGCAGGCATCCTTTCTTGTCCCTGGAGACAGTCTCTGTGGTACAGTACTGTTGGTAAGATTTGTACGTTTCTGATTCTGGGTTCATTGCACTTTTCCCTCTCTGTTTCTCTGGTTTTGTCTACAGCTTATTTTGTGGAATTCGGTTTTAAAATTCAGACAAATTCAAATTTAGTGTAAGCAATTTGAAGACACGTGACAAGAGCACATTAATGTTTTTTTATCTGAAGAAATTTCACTCTATTTTTTTATACTTTGAGAAGATTTCGGGAGTGACAGCTCTTGACCGGATAGAAATTCGGCTCGATCCGGCATAAAGACTCAACTGTTAGCGATTCTATTAAATTTAAACGTGTTAAATTGTTGAACCTCTCACTTACTGTTAGAAAAAGAGAATAGAAAAGAAGGATGTGTAGAAAAGAAAAATAGAGACAAGAGTGTACAGAGAGATCTATAGAGGCAAAATATTCGAAATTCAGGAGAAAATTAGCGATACGAAGTTAGACTTGGGAAATAGAGATAAAAATCTATTAAGAGACATAGAGGGGTAAAGAAATTTATGTAAGATAAGGGCAAAACTGAGGAAAAAAATTAAAATAAATTGACATGAGTGGAAAGCGACAGCATAGAAAGTGAATAGAAAAAATTCAAAATAGCAAAACAATTGCAATAAAAAATTAAATAAAAATAATATAAAATAGGGAGAGAGATATAAAATAAAAAATAAAGAGAGAGATATAATAAAAAATAGAGAGATAGAGATATATTAAAAAATAGAGAGAGAGAGAGATATTAAAAAATAGAGAGAGATATAATAAAAAATAGAGAGAGAGAGAGATATAGTAAAAAATAGAGAGAGAGATATAGTAAAAAATAGAGAGGGAGATAATAAAAAACAGAGGGAGAGAGATAATAAAAATTAGAGGGAGAGAGATAATAAAAATTAGAGAGAGAGAGATAGTAAAAATTAGAGAGAGAGAGATAATAAAAATTAGAGAGAGAGAGAGAGATAATAAAAATTAGAGAGTGAGAGATAATTAAAATTAGAGAGTGAGAGATAATAATAAATAGAGAGGGAGAAAGATAATAAAAAATAGAGAGAGAGAGATATAGTAAAAAATAGAGAGGGAGATAATAAAAAACACAGAGAGAGATAATAAAAATTAGAGGGAGAGAGATAATAAAAATTAAAGAGTGAGAGATAATAATAAATAGAGAGGGAGAGAGATAATAAAAAATAGAGAGGGAGAGAGATAATAAAAAATATAGATAAAATAAAAAATTAAAGGAGGAGAATAAAAATATTGTAAAATGGAAGTGAAAGATATAATAAGAGAAGGATAAGAAAAGAAATTCGGAAAAAACTGTTTCGACGTTTTTTGACTTTGGTCTCCAAAAATTAGCTCCATAAATTTATCATAAGAAAAAACTTACGACTTTTTCAAAATTTTAAAATTAGAATTTTTAAGTTTTGTGAAGAGTAATTTTTTTTTAATTATTTACGCTTATCCGTCTTTATTTCTTATTGAAATAAATTATTAATTTATAAAATATTTTGAGAATATCATTTAGGTATTGCTCATCCATGATCTTACTAATGTTTAAATTCCTATTCTCTTCTCGTTACAGCTTGAAGCATTTGAAACAACAAAGAAGAATAAGAATAGATGAGTAAACCTCTACAAAATGTACAATATAAGTCACTGTAAACAGAAAACAACCACACTACTTTTGGTAAATTCAAGTGGAAAACTTTAATACCACCTGAATTTAGATAGAAACAAAAATAAAACACCTAACCTCCAAAACAAAGATATAACTAAAATCCAAGAACCAAAAAAGAGCGAAAATATGTCTACGAAATTCTCTGCGCATCCTGACTTGGCAGTCGAGCAATTACAACGAGCTGCCGAGCTAACAGCGCGTCAGAATTCCTGTAGCAAAACGCATGCGCATCATAGGCGACATCACTCCGCAGGAGCGGGGCCCCACAGCTCACCCGCCAAGGTGGCCACGAGGAGCGCAACGAAACAATTTAATTCCAATAATACAGCAGGGCTTGCTGATGCTGAGCCGCAAGTGGAGCCTTACGCCGCCAGCGCATTTCCACGCGGCTCACCCGTGCGAACTCTCAACCCAAGCACCAGTGGGGGCAGCACCAGCAGTCACACAACAACACCTGTGGATGTGCTCGATAACAAATTCTCGTATAATACCATGGATGCGATGGTTTTGGCCTACATCGATGATATCGATCTCAATTGTGCTGACGCTGATGGTGAAGATGATGTCTACATACAGAATACAAATAGCCGAACGAGCAACAGAAACCGCACCAAAGACTGTGTAGACTATACGCCGTCCACGCCGACGTTACGATGGTCAACGGCTGGTGGTGCTGGCGCAGCCGCTGGTCATCCAAATACTGCAGCACATCCAACACAAGAGCCCACATCTGTGGATGAGCCAGATTACTTGCAGCATCGCTTTAGCCGAACAGTCGCCGGCGCCAATTGTAATAGTCGGCAGTCGGCGTCCCAACAGCAGTTTGTTACGAGTAGTGTTGATTACTACACCGCCGACCCGCGTGCCTCGCCACTGCACACCATTAGCGATGGTTGCGCCAGTGGTTTGAGTAGTGTACTAAGTTCACCCTCAGCCAGCACAGTATCTTCGCCACTTTCAACGCCGACAAGACTTGCGCCACATTTTCAACGAAACCAAAAACAACAACCAAATAGTAATAACTGCTGTCAAAAGTCGCTGTCGACTGGTTGTTGTAGCAGCTCGGGCGCGAGGAGCAATAGCGATACATGTTGCAATCAAGAGCATCACCAACACAAACATCAACATCACCAGCACCATCCTCATCATCAACATAAAGCGATGGCAACGTCAACATTATCATCAAGTACATCCAAGGCGGCGGCGGCGGCAGCAGCTGCTGCGGCATCATCGTCGTCAAGCGGATGTAAAAAGTCGCAGAAATATGATCCCAGATTACTCGGCCCATCACGTTATCGTCAACTTTTGCCAGTTGTGCTGTGCATTCTGTCGTTCGCGACCGTCTTTAGTATATTAATTGTTTACATGGATACGACAGGTAAGCTTGTTAGATGCTTTAAATTTTTTTTTTATAAAGGAAGGAGAAAACTTGCAGTTTTTTTTGCATCAGAATATTCAAATTTGTTTGCCTTGTAGACATTTGTTTGTCTCGACTCGGTTTCGGGGTTCCTTCCTGATGTCTTATTTGTTTTTATAATTTGATATCTCGGACATGTGTCTAATATTGACTTTGTCTGCTGGATGCTGTCGCGTTATACAGTTTTTTCGCTATCTATCTATTTTTTTGTTTTCGCTTTTAAGAAGTACCGGAAGTAACAAGCTTGGGTTTAGCAACTGCAGGCGCACTTTTGAGCTCAAATAACATATTCCGTAAGAAATACAAATATTACGGGGTTACTCTGGAGTTAGAGGAATTTTTTTTCGATTACGGAAAGAAATAAAATAACAGTACCTATAAAGCAATATGTGCTATGGACGCTATGAATTCCTTATATATTGGATGCAAAGAGCATTGGAATATTTGGATTCTTAGCCAGTCGCCCAGATCATCATTGGTATAAAAGATAAAAAAACTCACAATTTCGATACGTTAAAATAAAGAAACAGTTTGGGGAGGACACCACCTTACGGAATGTCTTGTTTATACTTTCTGAGCTTGAAGTTTTAACCTCCAAATTTCTTCAGTGATTGTCGATTACTAAGATAATTCATTGCTCACCTCTACAACCTCGATATCCGATGTACTTACTGGAGTGAGACGAAGGCATTCGGCAAGTCAAGTCACCTTTGGTTGATGTGCTGCAGCTTTCAGCCCACAATCTTTGCTATTGAAGAGGGGAGGTATATCAGGTGCAAATCAACCCTGTTTTACATAGCTTGCATTTCTAGAGTTGGTACTGTCGATTATAATTAACGCTAATTGTCAAGGAACCTGTTAGGATCAGAAAGTTGATGAATAAGGCTAACCTCGCTTCTTCGGAGGTTTTTAACTCTACTGCCTCCCCGTGAATAAAATAAAAAATAAAAATTAAATAAAATAAAAAATAGGTAAAAAAAATAAAGTAAAATTAAATTCAAAATATGGTAAAAATAAATTAAAAATAAAGAAAAAATAAATAAATTAAAAGGAAAAAAAAAATTAATAAAAAATACATTAAAAGAAAAAAGAGTGTAAACAAAAAAATTAAAATTGAAAATAACAAAAAAAAAATTACAAATAGCAAAAAACAAAATTAAAAATAATAAGAAACAAAATGAAAAATAATAAAACGAAAATTAAAAACAATGAAAAACAAAATTACTAATAATAAAAAACCAAAATAAAAATTAAAAAAAAAAATTAAAAATAATAAAAAACAAAATTAAAAGTAATAAAATATCAAACTAAAAATATTAAAAACCAAAATTAAAAATAATAGAAAACAAAATTAAAAAAAGAAAAATAAAAATTAGGTTTGAAAAAAAAAAACAAAAATATTGAAAATTATATAAAAAATAAAATCAAGCTAACATTAACACTCAATAAACGTCAGTTATTCGCTTATATTCAAGCTGCCTTGCCGCTTCAAGTGCCCTTACAGTACCACCCACCACCGCTCAAAGCCATGCAACGGTAATTATGTGCATTATTACTTTGTAAGCTTACGAAAAGAAACTGAAAAAAATATGCAAACAAGTTATTCCTTTGCAAATTTGCGCAAATTCGTCCATCCTCTTCTCTTCTGTTTCGCCAGAGACTGGCAGCACTGACTGCCGGTTGGCAACAAAATGTTCATGAATGAATTGTATAGGGCAGCGTAGTCAATCAAGCAACAGCTGTCTATGCTGCAAACGCTGCTTCAATCAGCTTTTGCTAGTTTTAGTTGACTCGTGCTGAGCGACTAGCTAGCTGACTGCCTTCTCGGTGTTTTTTTTTTTTCAAACTTATTTCTATTTTTATAATTTTTTTTTAACATCTATATTTTTTTATTCTATCTTTTTTCATTAAAATGTTTTCCGTTTATGCGAAACTTTTGCACGCGCCCAAGCAGCAGACAATGAAATGCGACAACGTGAACTGGCTGGCGTTGCAATTTCGCAAACTTATCGGTCGTCTTCACTCTCTCTTGCTCTCTCTCTCCTTCTCTACATGCCGCAGTCAGCAGCTATGACTCATCCTTGGCGGCGTCGGATGTGACTATGGGCTTACTATATTTTAATGTCTATATGTATGTACCAGTATGCAGGTATATTTATATCCGTACTCCTCGCTGCGTTTTTACCTTTACATGTTGAAATGGTGCAGTTTGGATTTGGACTTATTGTAGATACATGCAATTTCATTTATTTAATTCGCTAATCGTCTTTGATTGCTTGATTGTAGCGGAGTTGTTGATTGCTTGGACTGTTGGGGAGCTGTTAGCTCTTTTTTCATTAAATTTTATTACCTCTAATTTGTTTGTTGCCATGTACTTCTATTTAGGTGTTGGTGATGGCATTTATTCCTTTTGTTATTTAAAATTGACTGCTTTTTCTTTGCATAAAATGGTGGGATATCGCGATATCCTGATGATATCGGCAGAACTGACAGTCAGTGGCGATGGTGTTATATATAATTTGAATTAGTGCTAAAGGAAATGTTTACACACAAATGAAACACTTATTCAAATTATATATATTATGGGGTAGATCTGATTTGCTTAAAATTTCCTTCAGTTTTAGAATTAAAAATTCTAAACCTGTTAGGGTTCTAACATTTGAGAAATTAGTCCGGAAGCCAAACCACTCTCAGGCGGCCTGCTTACCTTATCACCAAGGTAAGTGTGAAAAAGAAAAATCTGGGTGTTATTAGTAAGAAGGGGAAATGTGTCAAATAATAAATTTAGCCTAAACTCTTGTCTCCTTTTACTTAACAAGAGAATAAAATATATAGAAAAAAGGGTTATAAATACAACATTTTTCAGTTAGTGAGCTTACAAGTATCAGTGTGTTCAGCAAATTCGTATTCTAGGCCAGTCCATTTGTTCTTTGATTTAGGAGCTGACCTCAATTTAAACACCCAGTACCATTGAATGCTGCTGTTAGCAACTTGAAATGTATCCTGTAACCCCCAAACGCTGATCTAGAACACTAGAGCTACTAGAAAGCAAAATGTTTGGATTAACTTTATCTGCAAAGTACCACGAATTCCTCCAATAATAAGAGCAACGAAAAGCCTGTCATTAGTTTTCCTTTTTACAATATCGTAGCAAAATTTTCAATAATTATTTCTTTCTGGCGGCACTTGACGTGACAATACTTCTTCCTGCTTAATAAATACTTTTCTGTTTATATATCGACAATGGCGCCGCCTATGGTTGGAACTCTTTGCCAAGACCATGCGTTGCAAATTAGAAAAATCGGAAGAATTTTACATTTTATATCTTAACCAGCTAAGATTAGAACACTATTCATACAACGATATAGATTTTTCATACATTTTATCTTATGCAATATATGTAGCTCATCTTTTAAAGCTAGGGTTCCAGGCTCACCAGCATAAATTTCTGTTGGTTAATTGTTTAATTCTAGATCTTTCAAAGCCCTGCCTTACATATTGAAAATCCCAAAATATTGATTACATACATATCAGAACCAACTACAAATCCCATTCCGAAAAGAGTAAGACTTTGCACTACTGCAGTATTTTCAATGTAAAACCCTCTCTCTCTCTACGAAGTAATACCAAATTTAAAACATCCTGGCATGAAATTATGTTTACTGTTTGCTACCAAGAAACTTGAATGAATAACAGTTGTATACTCTATCTAACTACACAACGACACACCCTTTATCTGCACTCTAAAAACTTTCATTGAGCATTTGTCGTTGCGCCATTCCGTCATGAAATTTACGATGAAACTTTTTTCGTGCTAGACTTTGTTGCACCATTCATTATCAAGACATTAACAACAATTTAAATACTCTACTCCTCGCATTCGTATTCGTAAGACTTGCTCAGTCAGTCGTGAGGCGTGAGGCATGAGAAGGCGTGAAACATTTATAGTAATACTCCATCTAGGCAACAGCAGCAAAAACAACAAACAACATGTAGTTGTTGGAAGTGACAACATTCTTCTGTCGCTTTTGTCTAGTCACCATGGCGTCCAGTTAATTGCAACGTCCGCGCAAAGACGACTTTGCAAATACTACTTACACTCGCTTCCGATGTTTGATTGCAGTAGCGCAGCAGAGGAGATGAGGTGATATGAGGTGAGCTGTGCTGACAACTCCGCGAGAAATGAATGCACTTGCCCAACTCTGTGAGTGACAAGCAGAGGATTGTTGTTGTTCTCTCTGTGTTTTACTTAAAATAATTTTTTATTTTTGTTATTTGCAAGTAATTTGCATGTCGTCGCATACTGGACTCCTCCACGCGCTGTCATTTAACGATTGGTAGGGAGCGGCAGCGGTAAAAGTAAAAACGAGAAAAAATCAAATAACAGAAAATTAATAAAACAAAATTGATGTGTAGAAAGCAGAATTCACACCACAAAGACGTGATAAAGCAATGATATTGGAAAATAGTTAAACAAAAACAAATCTTGTGAAATTCTTCTTTATCGTCAATGTGCCAGTTATGAATTCTTAGTTGGCCAGTAAGGCATAAGAATGGATATGAATTTCGCTTTGTTTAGCACGAAGCAGTGTTGTGTGTTGTTTTTGTATGTTTTTTTTTTAATCTTCCGCTATTATTGATCATTATTTTTATGATAATAGTCTACCATCAAGAAACGATTTGCGATGTAATTTGCAGATAAGACATGAAATATTTAAATAATTTATTTCTTTGTTTTGAGTATTTTTTATATTAAAAAGCTGCTTTTGTTATTTAGAGTATTTTTATTATTACTCATTTGCATTTTGTTGCTCTCATACAATACGCGTTGTCGCCAATAGAATGTGGACTTTCGGAAATTGAGTTACTGAATTTTAATAATTTAGCTATGGACAGTGGCCAATTTAATGGTTTAATTAAAGTTGACGTGTTTAACGAAAAAAGGTCAACAGATGAAGAAA